GTAGCATTAAATTGAAATTAAAAGTAGCTATTTTGGAAAATGTTCCATGCCACCCCTCAAATTAAATAGAGATTGCAAGCATTAATGCAATCAAAAGGTGGCCTCTACAAAACCAGTTAATTATCAAAGGTAAGAAAAATTCAATTTAGGTTTGACCTCAATCCAACGAAGACTGAAACCCTCTTTACCTCATTTGCTTCTACTTTGATATCTCACTGAAGACAAATTTTTTTTGCATTGTTTTGTTTTTCTTTTGTTTGTTTTTTTTTATCTCTTGGGGTATTGGGGAATTTTGCTGATGTATGAACTCGTTCTGGAACAACACTCATTCTGATATCGTATAAAAGGCCCCTAACAGTTTTTATTCTCAGAGCATCGCACTTTGCTTTCCTGTCTGAATACTATATATTTTAATAGTGTTGAAGCATCAACTCACTTTTAAATGCTTCGCTGCTTCGCTGCAATAAATAAAATTTTTAACTTAACAACATGCCTTCTCTTCAGTTTTGTGTATTATTTTCATCTAGTATGTAAAGGTATGTAAAGGTCACATTTACTCTTCTCACACATTTCTTGGTAATCATGGCCGTTTTAGTGAAAAAAATACTGTTCTTTAGCCGAACAAAGACAAGGTTTTATTTTAATGATTCAAATGTATAAAGTGTTCAATTAACAATAAAGCAGCAGTGAGGACATAAGCACAGCCTTGAGCGATGGTTATTTCATAATGCTTGGTGAAACCCTCTGGGACTGAGGAACTTCGTGAAGCGGTAAAAATGGTGTCCCTTCTTCCGACCGAGTCGAATGGATTGGGTGGGTTTTACAAAAGCTCAGCTTTAGGCATTCAAATAATGCTTAATTCGAGAAACAGTTGACTGCATTTGAAATCGCCTCGTATTGCATTATGCTTAAAAAGGGAAAAGAAAGGGAGCTGCCATAGGCAGGGATTTGTGTGATTGATGGGACTATGAAAACAATGTTAAAAAATGATTCCAGTATCTTGCTTTGGAAGAGTTCTGAATACTTCTTTTCCCATCCTTCTCAACGCCTTTATAGCATTCAGTTGAAATTAAAAGTAGCTATTTTAGAAAATATTCCATGCCACCTCTCAAATTACCTTAGCATTAAATGTAATCAGAGGTGGCCTCTACGAAACCAGTGGATCATTAAAGGTAGGAAAGTTTTGGAAAGCGGGTCGATAGTGATAACCTAGATCACTATCAAGATAGCATAATCATTTTGTTCAATAATAATTTCGTCATTTAAGGTCAGTTCAATCTTTTATTGCGCAATCTATAAACTTACGTCGAAACAAATACTTCCTGTCATTATTCTATTTTAAGACAGCTTACGCATCAGTCATTCTTCGCTCTATCATCAGACAGTAATGATCATATGATCGCATCACATTTCAGCATTTTTTTGGCCTGCCTAAGCTTGTTCGCCTCCAGAAGCGTCTAAAGTTTATCTGCTCCACAAAAGGCATAATCATACCAACCAATAATGGATACTAAGACCGAGGTCGGGCGGGAGAACATTTATTTCGAAATGGAATCTAAACAGGAAGATCACGCCGAAAGGTGTGACGATTCAGTTTACAGAAAGGACACTCCTCAGGCAAAGCCGAAGGTGGAAACACAGCTGTGTAAAGATTCTGATACAGTGAAACATCACCTATTATTCTTAATCGTATCTGCCATTGCTGTTGCTTCGCTCTTAACAGCCCTTGCCACTTTGGTTTTAGCTGTGACAATCATTACGGCACGGAGCGAAGTTTCTACAGGTACGGCTACCATTGCTTCTCCCTGTTGTAAGTATTTGACAAGTGTTTAAAAACACTTGTAGGTCTTGATCCATTCAAATCTTAAAAGTGATTGAAAAGGTGCACTAATTAAACGACAGGATGAAGAAAAAAAAGATAATTCACTTCGGTCCTGAACATTTCCTGTGCAAAGAGGAAATTAGAGGAATTTCCGTTTCGATATGATTTGAGTATTGCTATTATTACCAGAGCTTTCCCTCCACATATGATTAGTACAGGATTTCTAAGAAAAATTGTTATAGAAGGGGAAATCCGTCCATCATAATACTTATCCGTAATCATGAACAACAAGGGCATTTCTATTGCGTCTGCATTATTTGATATTTAGATAAGGCTAAGTTGTAACAACTGAGCTTTCCAATTAAATAACACATTCTGTGATATGCAGGATGTTGTCACGGTTGCTTAGGAAAAGAGGGAAAATATCGTATTTAAATAGTGAATAATCTATCTTTGACATATAAAGTGCGTTTTTCAAAAGGGAATCTTGATGATGTGAGCCACTTAACACCAAGTTAGTATCATGAAGTATGCAAAGGCCGAAGACACTGTAAGTGACGCAAATGCTCTGAGTCGTTGAATTGAGAACTTTGACCATTTTTCATCTCTTTCCAATATCTAAAATTGTTAGTCGGGGCACAAAAAATATGCGTAATAGTATCTGACAAAAGATGAGGTTATAAAAAATATCAATAGTGAAAGGCATGACTGTTCATATTTTCAATGGGGCTTTTGGAATTAAACCCGTGAATTCACTTATTAACGCAAAAATCAACCCCCTCCCCTCCCTTATAAAATTTGAAATTGAAATTTTGATTAACATACATACCAAGAAAATTCAAAGTTCCATGTAGATAATTAAAAATGGCAATAGGACCGAGTGGAGTCCAATTTGGTGCGTGATCATAAGATGGATTGTCAATCACTCGTATCGTTACTGACAGAATTGGACGACTCTAAGTCCTGTTGCCAATTAATGATGACCATTACAATTTAGGGAAAAAAGCAAAAAAACAAATGTATTTATATGAGAAAAGGCTTTTAATAATGATTATCCAAAACATGATCATTAAAATCTTCGACAAAAGCGAAATGCAACGTTTAAAAACGGCTGTTATAACAGAGATGAAAAAAAAAGAAAAAAAAAGTCTAAAAACCACTTAAGCAAAACGATTACTTAGCACAACCAGTCGTGTCAATCAATTAAATAATCAACCAGGCGTTACAGCCAAGGAACGAAAAATTCACAGAATTTAAAAATCGCGCCGTGGTAAGTTTCGAAAAAATAGTCGGCATACATCTACCGCAGCTATCTCTAGAAACAAAAGAAAGCATTACAACTTTTTTTTAAAGAATCTCTTGTAATTATATCAATCGACTAATCTGAGTCCAAGTCGATGATTACGAGCCTCTTCCCTCGTCTTTTGCTTCGCGAGGAATCTCCAGAAGGCAACCGGTGTGTGTTCGACTCAAACAATAACGTGAACACTTGACAAGGTGCCTGTTGGAGAATTTTTATTGCCATTGTGACAGACTATGATGGTGTGAAGAAAGGAGGCATATTGCCTGACCCATAAAGATTAGCTGGATGTTTTCTTTCATGTTTGTATCTCCTGGACCTAGACAAGAGGAAGAAATAATTGCCGGCGATCGACCTTTGAACTATCACTGATAAAGTCGATGTTGCGGCATACCCACTTGTTATACGAGACAATTGCCTTCGTTCGCTCTCCGTTGTTTTGTCATAATCATCTAGCGAAGACTCTCTGGCATGTCCAGTAACTTGGATAATTTTATGAAGTGGTTGGCCCGCTTCTTTTAATTTCGCAACGACCGTTTTTCTTGTGGAATGGTTTGTTATTTTCTTGGCACGCTCCTCTGGTAAACAACTTGCAACTGATTTCATTATTTGGCCAATTCGATAAATATAGTGCTGTTATTATAGGCATACAATGAACCTTCCTTCTTACGAATGATGCACTAACTTGGAAAGATCGTTAACTTATATAGCACGCAGGAAAAAAGGCCTTTTACTTACGATTTTTTTCAGAATGGAACAAATAATTCTCTAGATAGAGATTGTTTGCAACTATAGCTAATAAAATAAAATAAGCTGGTCCTATTTCTCCCTGCCTATCAGTGTATGAAGTTTTAACACGTGTTTATTGATATTTATCTTTTATCTATTTATCCATCTCTTCATCTTTTCATTTGAAATCCTTCATTATTTTTTGTTTACATTTTCTGTTTTTCTTATTGTCTCCCCTTTTTCTAGAAACGTCAGAACTTCAAAAGGATGTGCAAGAGTTGAAAAGGAACCTCTCTGCATTCAGAGATTACTCGGTAAGAGTAATTCTTAATCTTTATCAGTAATCAGTTAAAAGCAAAATGCACTGACTTGAAATACATACAGACTAAGGGCCTCAAAAGGACTTTTAACTCGCTGATAATTAGTCATATTTTATAGAAATATAGATTTTAAACAGAGCTTTAATACTTTCATAGAGAGCAGGCTGGAGGCACTTTGCACTTCTGCTTTAACTTTTTCAATGGGGCAATCTAAATGTTATTTCTGATGAGCCGAGGCTGTTGTGGAGAAGCCTGATGAACCTTAAGATAGGCCATCTTGGGTGTCATTGTTGCAGACATTATAAGTATTCTCGTAATTTTTTGGACCAACTTTGGAAGCATAGCGGTTCAAACCCTATCATGCAAAGTGCACACCTGTATAGCCATCATCATCATTTGATCATTAGAAATAAGAAATTACAAGAAAGTATTATTTTACCAAGAAACTTGATCAGGAATATTGATTTACAATTTTTTTATTGTTAAAGGTTTCAGGGGATGTAAAAGAACTAAAGAAAAATGTAAGTTTGCCATTCATTCCTCTTCCTGTAATAATCTTAATGATCATCTTAATGTTAATAATTACAATAATGATGATGATTGTAAATCATCAGTAACAATAAACCATTCATGAAAAAAATGATATGATGTTGAGTAGTTTCTTTTCTTTTCTTCCTTGTGTTAGGTCTCGGCAGAATTGGAGGAGCTAGCAATAAAGGCAAGTTTAAATTCATCCATTTCCAGTTCTATCTATATATTTAGGAAAAAATTACTATTAGTGCACTTAGTTTAACACGAGTTTCTTACTTAATGGCACATGAAAAAAGATATGGAAAACATGAAACATGAGGTAAGTTCCAATACCAATGTATCGTTATCTGAATCCCTCACTGTTACAGTCCCTATCACCATTATGTTCAAAAGCAAAACGTGGACTGCTCTACTTATTTCACCAACTTTAGTAGGCCCACTTATTCTCTAACACAATAATTTGGCCCGTTTTATTTTTAGGGCAAAAATACAGAGCTAGAGGATATCCATCTTGCAGTACAGCATGCTGCTCAAGTTTTGATTGGTCTGAATACAAGCGTAAATGAGAGGTTTCTGCATTTCCAACAAAGAATCATACAACTGGATCAAAAGGTACATATACCTGAATGTATTTTTGTGTGCCATTTCATACCGAATTTTGAATCAACCAATCAGAGACCTGATCTGAGATATCTCGCAATGCTAAGTCACTGCCCTAAGCTGCACAATATCATGGTCTCTTTCAATTGAATTTAAGCTACTTAATGGTCATCACAAAGTGCATGGTACAGATATGCCTCTAAACCTATTGCAAAAACGGAGACTGTTTTTCATCGTGAGTTAAAGGGGATTTTCAAAGATTGTCAAATGCATGACCCCTCACAGTTTGCAAGAGTCAGGGTTGAAAATTCAAATTCAAGCAATGCTACCCCAGCAAATTCTAAATTTGTTTTCAAAATGACCTGTTTACTTTTATTTTATGTCTGTGGAATGGCAGGGGATACTTTTTTTAATCTAATTTTAAGCTTTTAAGCTACAACTTAGCTTATTGTTCAAAAAGTTCTTCAAATCGACTGTATGTACTGGCTTAAAGAGCCTTTTTGAGGGGCGGAAGAGCACAAAAACGTGTGATTGAGTCAAAAATAAGAACAATCTAGTGTGATTAACTTCCAAGAGTTAAGGTATAGATATATCAGTGATAAGGGATGGTGTGGTGTAAGCCTATAGACAGATCGATTGATCTTTGGTGACCATTCCATTATCAGTCCAAACTATAAGGAGCAAATAAGTATTATAAAGGTCTCTAATGTAAATAAAAAAAAATGAAAACAAACTGTGCATTTCTCACAACCAACTTAAGTCAATGTTGTTTTCCTTCTATACAACTTTTCATATAAGAGCCTCCCATTTTGGCAGTGCCACAGCCACTTTCACTGTCACTGTTACTGTCACTTTCATTTTCACTGTCACTGTCATTGTCTCTGTCACTGTCACTGTCATTATCACTTTTACTGTCACATACACTGTCACTGCCACTGCTACTGTCACTGTCACTGTCATTGTCACATTAACTGTCACTGCCACTATCACTCCAACTGTCACTGTTACTATCACTGTCACCGTCAGTGTTACTGTTACTGCCACTACCACTGCCACTGTCACTGTCACTTTCACTGTCACAGTAACTGCCACTGTCACTTTCCCTTCACTTTTACTATAATTGTTACTGTCGCCGTCATTATCACTGTTACTGTCACTGTCACTGTCACTTTCCCTTTCATTTTTACTATCACTGTCACCTCACTCACTTTCACTATCATTGTCACGGTCAACGTCACTATCACTTTCAATTTGTCACTTTCACTGTCACTGTCACCGTCATTCTTATTGTAACTATGCTAATTGTCATTATCACTACAATTGTAATCATTTTCATGATTATCGTCATGCAGTGGTTACTGTGAATATCATTGTTATTTTTTTTAAATTGTGTAGGTGAAAAATACTACTGGCAGCACGAGCATCAGAGGACCACCTGGAGTCAATGGTACTAATGGTGACACTGGATCTGCCGGAACTCCCGGACCTGCCGGACCTCCGGGATATAATGGTACAAAGGGTGACATTGGACCTGCCGGACCTGCTGGACCTGCCGGACCTCCAGGATATAATGGCACTCAGGGCCCTGCAGGACCATCTGGACTACCTGGTGTACAAGGTCTTCGTGGACCATCTGGGTTCAATGGTACCCAGGGTCCACCTGGACCCGGGACCAGTTCCTGTGTTTTTAAGACTTTATCTAGCCTTGGCCTACCAGCATCCTCGTTGACCATCCAAAAAATTACAGCGACGGAACAAAATGTATGTTGAGTTAAAGATTGTCAAAGTTGTTTGATTCTGAAAAACGAAAATAAAATCTCTATCTTCTATTGAAAATTACTTTACGACATATTAACACTCAAGACAATATCTATTGGTCGAAGGAGTTGTCCAGATGTCGTAAGGCCTCACTTAAAGTCATAAAGTTGAGTTATTACTTTCTAGCCATAGGCCGCATCGACTGGAGAATCAAAGCTAATTTCCTATCTTTTAAGTTTTAAATCTCCATCACCATTAAAACAAAAAACAAAAAAAAAACGTGTAGGCTGTATTTGTGATATCCGATTTCGGCATGGAAAACTCACAATAAGTATTGCTCAGATTGTAGGCGTCAGCTTTCGTCACGTCGTGTGTACACCCATTGAAGAGGAAAGAAATGTTTTGCTCATCTGCTTTTCGAACTCTTGACGTAGTTTATCATTATCATCAGTATCATCATTATATTTTTTTTTTCCTGCCAGGGTAAAATCTTTATTGGCGTAAACTGTGATACAAACGACGCGAAAGCTGTTAAATTATCAAGTACTATTTCAGGTGGAAAAAGATCCTACGATTGCTCTTGCGAAGGTACCCTAACAACTGGAGAACCAATGATGTATTGCTACATACACTACTGGGAGTGTCAGATATAAGAGGGAAAACGAAAAGTTATTTGATCAACAGGAGTCTTTGTGAAGTAGATAAGAGATAATGTATATCAGAAACGAGACGAAGAACAATTAAGTAGATGAACGTAAATATCTTTTTTTTAAATATGCCCAGTCAACTGGGTTTTCTCTCAGAAAGCATTTCAGTTGAGTGTTGTAAAACCAAAATTAAAGTAAAATAAAAGTAAGAGTATAATCGGGAGAAGGAGTAAAAAACAGGTTATCTTCCCAGAGCGTGAGAAAACGAAAGTGACAAGATCGCGATTGGATTTGATTTTCAATCTGACAGATTTAAAGTATGGCGCGAGTTTCAGTTCTACACCAATCACATTGCGAAGTAAGGCAAAACCAAAGCAAAGTAGCGTTACTTTCCAGACTAAGTTGAAAATCACCCCATTCAGCGACATTGTGTTTACTTTACATGATGTCGAAGTAACAATTCAGAAATATCCATAATCTAATAGGCTAAGACTTTCCTATCATCCATACTCATTCAAAGGTGTACATGATTTATTTAATCAGAAACTCGATTCCTTTTTCACCACTAACTTCCACGCCCGCTCCTTTTGATACACTGATTACCGGAAACCCCAGGGAAAACCCCCAAAGTTGTGCCTGGTTGTATTAAATTTCACTATGAGAAATCAAAAATATCACTTAAAAAAGAAATTATGTGGGAGTAAAACAAGAGTTTTAATGAGGTGTCGCTGTAGCTACCTGTAAGGATTTGTGTGATTAATTGGACTATGAAAACACTATTGAAAAAAAAATGGTTACAGTATCTTGCTTTGGAAGAGTTTTTGAATATTTCCTTTCCCATCTTCCTCAAAGCCCCAAGAGCTAATGACAGCGTGTATTAGATAAACAGCGGCAAGTCACCCAAAATTCGCTTTTAACTCCACTTTCATATTTTATAGCCTAATTGCTGTGGTGTAGTTTTTTTTGTGAAAATATATTTTAGTTTTCGAGAAATAATTTTTTTCGTTCGATCGCTCAAATATGCACATTTTCACCGTGAATATTACCGGAGTTGTGTGAACTCATATAACGAATGTACTTGACCTCCGGTATTTCTGTCAACATAATCCTTTTTTATTTTCTAAACTTAATCCCCTGTCATTATTGAAGCTGGCAGAGAAATAGTTATTTTTTGGCGAATACGTTTGTCCGACATACTTATCCTGTGTCGAAAAGTAGCATCAAAACAAAGACAGTTTTCACAATGACCGATATAACAGAATCTACTGAGTTTCAAGCTTTTAAAAGCCAAAAGGATGGTTAAAAATTTAGTGTAAAAACGTCCTTGTGTATTTGTGTTGTTCTATCTTGAAACGAACTCAAAGTCCGACAAAATTTACTTGCTAGCGACTGTGAAATATACATGGCGTGCCTACTTGTCGCCGTTTACTGGCATAAATTACTACAATTTGTAAAAAAAATCTAATATAACACTCTGAGCTTGTTTATTTATGATTTATTAGCTGTTTTGATGATCGCATTATGCTCTACCACATTCCGGCCAGATTTGAGTTCCAGTTTATATATCTTCTCCATCTGATTATATCAGTTGCATGGCAAGCGTGACACTTACAAATTCAAAGATGAATCAACCTCCGAAATACCAAGAGATGGTTTTTTTTTTCCACTTTGCATGGTTTCTAAAAAACCTTTCAGGAATTACTGCTTTCAGAAAACTAAAATGTCCAGATCCATCAATGATTCCCTTGTCGGCGGAAGTCGAAGAATGGTTACAAAATTCAATTTGATTGACAAGCTACACACTGATTTAGCTAATTGATCTGTTGTAATAGCGTCTTACCTCACATGCTAACATGGAGATTTTCTGTCCATTTAAATTGTTCGCTGGTGGAACTTGTGGGTTTAGTTATCGAGAAGACCGAAGTTGCATATCTCAAGTCGTTCCCTTGCATAGTTGTATAAAGGCATTTCATGTGACTTGCGCAGTTGCAATTTTTCAGGTCCAGAAAATGAAGTTGAATGAAGTTGACTAAAACCCTCTATACCTCATTTGCTTCTACTTTGATATCTCACTGTACATAATTTTTTTGTGTTTTGTTTTGTTTTTCTTATTTTCTTTTTTTATCTCTTGGGTTATTGGAGAATCTTGTTGATGTATGAACTCGTTCTTGAACAACACTCATTCCGATATCATACAAAAAGCCCCTAAAAATTTTTATTTTCAGAGCATCACGCTTTCCTGTCTGAATACTACAAATTTTAATAGCGTTAAAGTAACAACCTAATTTTAACTGCTTCGCTGCCACTGAACAACGAATAGTGACCGCAAAAAGCACATAATCTAATCTTTTCAATTCAACATAAACAAAAATCTCTAAATAGGGTAAAGATTCATTTGTGTCAGTATCAATTATTGCGTAACTAGCTTATAATTAAAATTGTGAAGGGGAAAACACAACGCAAAACCTGGGCTGCTATCAAAAAGTAAAAGCAAGGCGTAATATAATCATCGAAACAGTTAATAAAATCATAAATAAATAAGATAAAAATATTATGCTAGATTTTTTTTACAAATTGTAGTAATTTATGCTAGTAAACGGTGGCGACAAGTGGGCACACTATGTGTATTTCTTAGTAGCTGGCATGTAAATTTTGCCGGACTTAGAGTTCGTCTCAAGATAGAATAACACAAGTACACAAGAAAATTTTTACAATAACTTCTTGATTATCCTTTTGTCTTTTAAAAGCTTGAAGCTCAGTAGATTCTGTCATATCGGTCATTATTAAAACTGTCTTTGTTTTGATGTTACTTTTCGACATAAGAAAAGTATGTCGGACAAAAATATTTACCAAAAAATAAATATTTCTTAGCCAGCTTCAACAATGACAAGGGATTAAGTTTAAAAAAATGAAAGAAAGGATTATGTTGACAGAAATACCGGAGGATAAGTAAATTCGTTACATGAGGTCACACAAGTCGGGTAATATTCACGGTGAAAATGGGCATATTTGAGCGGTCCAACGAAAAAAATTATTTCTCGAAAACTAAAATATATTTTGACACAAAAACTACACCACAATTATTAGCACATAGTGGGCTACAAAATATGAAAGTAGGAGTGAAATCGAATTTTGGGCGACTCGCCAAAATATTTCAAATTTGTTCGATGGATGCTGACATCCTCTATTGTGTACGTGTAGCATTAAATTGGAATTAAAAGTAGCTATTTCGGAAAAATGTTCCACGCCACCTCTCAAATTAAATAGAGATTGCGAGCATTAAATGCAACCAAAAGGTGGTCTCTACAAAACCAGTCAATCATTAAAGGTAAAAAAAATTCAATTTAAGTTTGACCTCAGCTCATCGAAGACTTAAACCTTCTATACTTCATTTGCTTTTACTTTGGTATCGCACTGTACACAATTTTTTTGTGTTTTGTTTTGTTTTTTTTCATTTCTTTCTTTACCTCTTGGGGTATTGGGGAATCTTGCTGATGTATGAACTCGTTCTTGAACAACACTCATTCTGATATCACATAAAAGGCCCCTAACAGTTTTTATTCCCAGACCACCACACTTTGCTTTCCTGTCTGAATACCATAAATTTCAATAGCGTTAATACAACAACTGCTTTTAACTGCTTCGCTGCCACTGAAACAACGATTAGTAACCACCAAAAGCACACATTCTAATATTGTCAGTTCAACATAAACAAAAATCTCTATACAGGGTAAAGATCCTTTTGTGTCGGTATCAATTATTGCTTGACTAGCTTATAATATAGATGGAGAAGGGGAAAACACAACACAAAACCTGGGCTCCTATCAAAAAGTAATAGCCAGGCGTGATATAATCATCGAAACAGTTAAAAAAATCATAAATCAACAATATAAGAGTGTCAAGTTTTTTACAAATTTTAGTAATTTATGCCAGTAAACGGTGGCGGTAAGAAGGCACGCCATGTATATTTCATAAATTAAATGGAGATTGCGAGCATTAAATACAATCAAAGTTAGGTTTTACAAAGCCAGTCAATCATTTAAGGAAAGAGAAATTCAATTTAGGTTTGACCTCAGCCCATCGAAGACTAAAACCCTCTACATCTCATTCGCTTCTTCTTTGATATCTCACTATACACAATTTTTTAGTGTTTTGTTTTGTTTTGTTTTTTTTTAAGAGCCTTCAAGTAAACTTGATTCACTCTTTTAAAAAACATGGTACATTTGCTTTACTGAAGTATCTTAAGCCGAAGACACACCTAGCGATTTTATACGCCGATCGCGGCGAATTTGATCGCCGGCGAAAGTCGCAAGCGATTTTCGCTACAGATCGCTGCAAATACAGTTGACGATTTTTTTCGCCAGCGACAATGTGGGACTTCAGCCTTGATGTAAGGTTCCATCGGGTGACGTTTAAAAATTGCGTGAACCAATGTAGACAAACAAAATGGCGACAGCGAAGCGAAAAAACCGTTGGCTGCTGCCACAATTTTGCAGCTAACGCGTTCTGAAAGGTGGGACATTAGATAATTGTGGTCGAAGACACGAATTTATTGAAACACAGTCCTTCTTGAGACGATTATTGTAGTCACTCGACGTTACATCAAATAAACATGGCTTTTCTGACCATAGTGTGATCAAATTAATTTCTTTAAGTTTAAGCAGAGGGAACAGAAACAAATTTAGTTAGAAGATAACGGTGTACCGCGTTAAAAAAAAAAAAATATATATATATACCTGAACAGCGTTTGAACCAGTGTATACATAATATGGCTCGATATTGCTGTCCTTCGATTTGATGCTTTTGTCATAATGCGATCTAATAATGTTTTTTAAGACTTTGATGTTAAGATATTATAATATAAATAGATATCATAAGGAAAAATCTACAACTGACATTTATTTAGCTAAACAAGCTTCAGGAAATTTTAAAACTGCTTCTTAGGCTTGCGGACTCACCAGACTTTCTGTAGAGATTATCAGGCACAATCTGACCATATTATTGGCCTGTTTTCCGTAGAACTTGCGGTATTCTTCAGTAGCACTTTAAGCCCTC